TTACTGGCTGGGTGCTGCTCTCCAAGCTGCCGTGCTGCATTCTTGTAAATTGGCTGTCGGATTGGTATCAGCCAGTATGGGTGCTTAATAATCAGCCATTGGTATCAGCCAAGAATATCTTTATTGGTGCACCCATAAAAATAACTATGCCATGTGCCAGAGACTTTAGTGCACATTTAAGAATTTAATTGTGACTGCCTAAATGCATTATAAAGCATAAGATACTTTGTTTTTTAAAAAGTCTAGAATATAAAGTGCACGAAACTATGAGGTAACATTAAGGCTACAGTCAAAATTGATACAGGAGATGCAAAAGTTAAGATTTCTATAGCAATCTTTACATACATGCTACACAGTCTTTTAATGTTTTTGTTGTTGAATGCACAGGTAAGTATATTGCTATATCAGTGGTTTTCAACCTGTGGTCTGGACCCTTGGGAATCTGCAGATTATGTATAAGGGATCTGCAAAAGATGACTATGATCAATCAAAAGCATGTGAATACGTGCACTTATCATTCAAAAAGATCCACACCTCCATTTGAAATTTTTTAGGGGTCTGCAAATGAAAAAATGTAAATCTTTGTGCTATATTGTTAAATGTGTGCCTAAAACCATTGGGGAACTAAAATGCAAGCAAGTCAGAATTGCTTTTGGAACATAATGCAGTTTTTAATAATTATAACTGCAGTATTGGCATGGAGGTATTACATGTTTTTAATTACATAGCTTGTTTTTTAAAATGAATAGTTGACAAGTAATCAGTGCACAGTTTGAACTAAGAAGTTTGGCATATCTCTTTTTCAAAGAATGTAGACGTAATATTACTGCTGATGAATGAAGAGTCAAGGAGGTATAGAGTTATCCTAGGATCTTTTTCCAGATTGAACATATTCAGCAATTAGTTGAGTTTTATCTAAAATTTGAAGTCAGTTAGTAGAAATGCAAAATCCACAACTACAAGCTGAGAAACAAATACCTATTTTATTAGGCTTTTCATGGCAAATAATTTTAATTTAAAATATTGGGCTTTGTTTGCTTGTCTGCCTCTTGATGGCTCAGATAAAGTGCAGTATTTTTGGTACTGGACACGTTGTCTTTCAGTGTACAAATTACTTGGAGTAAAAAGCTTGACAACTGGGAGCATGGTAATCCATGCTGCAGTGAGTAATACTTCCAGTTTCTTTGTTTAAACAAATATTTTTGTAGTTGGTTCTTTACTTTTGTTTCATCAAACATAGGTCTGAAAGGATAACTGGGCTGCATGTATAAAAATATAATTGCCATATGGCAGTGGACAGGATATAAATAGTATGTATTTTAAGAAGAAGAAAGAGAAATGTAAGAAAAATACAGTGTACACTTTTTTTTTTATTATGTTGATATTTAAAATTTATGTTGAAGGAGGGGTGCAGCAGCATTCTCCAAAGTTAATTGTTGGTGTAATTATCAGCATTTATGGTTTTGCAGCTGCTGTTTAAAACAGATAATTGCATGTATGCTAACTTGCTGGTAACTTTTTTTTTTTTTTCTTTGCCAGGTTGGTGCACACTTTTTGGAGGCAGTAGTAAAGAAATTTGATGAACTCTATACAAGTGAGACTGAAGGGAAAGAGTGTGAAAACCTCTTTATCTTGATTGCCCATCTGTATAACTTCCATGTCGTGCATTCACTGCTGATCTTTGACCTTCTGAAGAAGCTTGTTAGCACGTTCACGGAAAAGGACATTGAACTGATTTTGCTACTCCTGAAAAACGTGGGTTTTTCTTTGAGGAAAGATGATGCCTCTGCACTGAAGGAACTGATCAGTGAGGCTCAGAACAAAGCAAGTGCTGTTGGGAAGAAATTTCAGGACCAGTCCAGGGTATGAATACATTTGGATACATAATAGGACAAATTTTCTTGTGTAGACAGAACTCATTAAAGAATTGATTAAATCTTACATCTGTAAGAACTACTTCACCGTTAGGGCGGCTAGGATCTGGAACCAACTTCCAAGGAAAATGGTGCTGGCTCCTACCCTGGGGGTCTTTAAGAAGAGGCTTGATGCCTACTTGGCTGGAGTCATTTGAGCCCAGTTTTTCTCCTGCCCAGGCAGGGGGTCGGACTTGAAGATCTACAAGGTCCCTTCCGACCCTACTTCTATGATTCTATGATCTTTTAAATTTACCAACACCTTCAACTTGTGTTAAATTTGTCAGCTAAAGTTCTTTGTTATGTTGTCAAATTAGATCTTAAATTAATATTGCATTAACTTCTGTTTTTGTGTACATAGAGAGAAAAATACAAAGGAAAGTTTGTTTCCAAAATACAAAGACCAGCATGATCTGAAATAGCTGTAATTAGGACCACGTTGTTATGCAAAGGTTGAGGCATTCAGTTCATTATTCGTTGTTGTTTGACTCAAAACCCATAATAAGTAGAGGTATGAGCCTGGCTTTAAAACAAATGGAGGCAATAGTACTTGAAATGAATATTGTCTCTTAGCCAGAATTTTATATGTGCATATATGTAATCTAGATTCCGGAATGTATTGCAGCCAAAGTGCTTGTGTGTGCGCGCAGTAACACATTCCAGGTAAGTTTTGCACTTTTAATGACCTTTTTTCCAGCACCTAAGTCATCATGTTGGGTTTTTTCGCCTCCTGTAGGTTCGCTTTATGCTAGAGACTATGCTGGCACTCAAAAATAATGATATGCGGAAAATCCCAGGTTATGACCCTGAACCAGTTGAGAAACTGCGCAAACTGCAGAGACCATTGGTAAGGATTTTGTTTTTCGTATCCATACTAAAACTGTTCCTAAGTCATACATTCAGAACTAACTGCAAGACCCTTTATAAGGTGATGCTGACGTATGTTAAACCTCGTGGGCAGCTGGGAAACGCTATTTTATGTCACCATAGCTATGATGGCAGAACCCTGTAGTGGAGATATGACAGATGCCAACAGAAGCAGTTTTCTGGTGGCATAATTCACCATCCCATGAATGACAGAGCAAAGTCAGTTGAAGTGTTCTGTATTTTTGCATCCCCTAGCTGACAAAACTGCAGTGTAGAGCAGGTCAGAGTTCACATCCTGAGAATACTCCTGAAATGCAGCTGTCTAGGTGTTAGTATCCAGTTGCATGTTGCTAAACAGAGAAATGAGGGAATTTTTTTTCTAAGGACACTGAGGGAAACCCACAGGCTTGCAGAAAGTGGTGTAGGATCACTTAACATTTATGCAGACCAGGCAAGTTGTCATGTCAGAAACTGCACTTCTCAAACCTGAGGTTTATCCAGTTAACCAGCAGCGCTTCAGAAGAGTGGATATTTCTCTGAAATTTGTGTCACTGTAATATGCAAAGTTAGGAATTTAATAGATTATATCTAGGCATGTTTTAAGCAGGTTCTGTAGAGCTTTTTATTACAGTTTTGCAAGTGCACCTTTAAAACCTACTTGTAACATCTTTTCCCATCTATTCCTTATCTCCTGCTACCACTCATTGTACTGAAAGTTTTAGTGATTTCATATGAGCAAAAATGTGCCATAGAAAATAAGAGACTGCAAATAATTTTTCATTTGTAACTCTAGATTGGAATTTAAACCAAAGCTTTTATAATTTAGTGAATGAAGATAATTTGGATTTCTTTTTTGGTGGGTGTTCATTTTAAAAAAAGAAAAAGCATGAAGTCCAAAAATGCAGATTTAGGAACATATATATATATTTTTAATTTAAAATAAATGGAATTGTGTAGGTTTTGCAGGTCATGATTAGAAGGAAAAGTTATGAGGAGGAAGATTTGACAGCACAGTAGGGAGACTTTTTAAAACTGGGCTTTTGATCTAAAATCCTTTAAATTAAAAACTTGCTTGGAACTGAAAGTTGCTTCTGTTGTTTTTGTTGTTGTACAAGGTTCACAACAGTGGTTCTGGAAGAGAGACTCAGCTTCGTGTATCATTAGAATCGCTCCTCAACGCTGACCAAGTTGGTCGCTGGTGGATTATAGGGTCATCTTGGAGTGGAGCACCAATGATTGATGATACCAACAACAAGACTCAGCAGCAACTGCCTGTTGGAAAGGTACATATATAGACATGCTATTAATTAAAGAATGTATCAAGAAATTTTTTTGTCCTTGGGGCACGTGAACTGGCCTCTCAAGCCTAACAGCGTTTTGTAGAACTGAGCCTTTGGACTGTAAGATTCATCATTCTAATTTGTAAAGCAGTGCACATCTATGGAGTTTATAGAAGCTCCATGTGACATCTGTCTCTTTCTAATGTGGTTTGTGGGGGTCAGATTTCTGTTTGCCCTGGCCCTGAAATTGTCTTTTCCACCTTCTGAAATTACAGAGAATTTCTTGGCTTTTTGACGTATAAAATGAGAAAAGCAGGCACTGTCGAAGAAGGATTCCAGGACTTTGAGTAAGGTCCCATGTTCCTACGAGATATATATAGTTAACTTATTTTTAAAGTGGACAAGTGACATGGCAAGAAGAGTACAGCCATTTAACTTAGATTATAGACTAGGGATAAACCTGAAACTAATTCTGCTATAAAGGTAGAGCACTGAAGAGGTAGGTACTTGAAAGTAGAGCAGTTGTAACGCTTCTTCATCCAGAAGTCATTCTGCTGCTACTGGGGCAAAGCTAAATCACGTATAGGGGCAGTAACTTTATTTTAAAGTGGGGCAGCTGACTTGCTACTCTTTATCCTGTTCTTGTATCCATGGCCCTTAAAAAAAGCACTTCTAACTCACTTGATTTTCCTTGGTAGAAGGCCAAGCCATAACAATTCTTATGTTGATTTCCAGTGATGAAGGCAAAAGGCCTTTGGATTGTTACTTCACAATTCACCTCAAATAATCGGTCATGTTGGAGAGATTGCAGTGGAAGTATTTTTCTCCATCATGTCTAAAAATGAAATTTCTTTTTAGGTGAGTTCAAAGATACTGGAGCTTGCTCGTAAGCAGAGAATGAACACTGACATCAGGAAAAATATTTTTTGTGTCTTGATGACAAGTGAAGACTTCTTGGATGCCTTTGAAAAACTTTTGAAGTAAGTACAGAGTGGGAAAGTTGGTAAGGGTTGAGGTGAGGATGGAGTGAAGAACCATCAGAAGCAAGAAGTGATGATGACAAGGAAGCCAAGCAGTGCAGCAGAACTAAACTACAAGTCAGGGAGTAAGGAATGGACCAAAATATTGTTAACCTCCCAGGGAGCACTTTAGAAGAAATGGCTGTGACAAAGGAGCTGTTTTAGACAAACAAGGTGTTTCTACTAAGCCTGTGTGAAGCAGCTAGTACTTGCTTTTGATTTGGCTGATTTTGGGGGACAGTGATTTGATTTAGTGATTCGAATCACTGTCCTGAATTGATTTTTGGCCAGATCTGATTTGGAGATTTGGCCACTGCCGCTGAATGTAGGGGTGCAGATTTTCTAAGATAATCAGAAACCACCTTCCACTCACTGCTAAGAAACTGGCAATGTACAGTGGCAACTGAACAAATGAGCAGTGCAAAGAAAAGCATCTGAATTGGGAATTAATTCTGGAATCGCACTTAAATTCATTAAACAGGCTTCAAATAGCCAAGCATTAGAATATTTACATAAAGCTATTAACCACTAAACAGCAAAATCGGGTATGACTGGGGTAGTGTTGTTCTGGTAATCGAGTCTAAATACCAGACTGGGCAATGGTAATCTATTCTATTATTTTGAGAATTAGACATGGGCAACTGGTGCCACGTTAGTCAGGGTGAGGCACATGCCCCACCCCCCAGCAACCAGTCACCAACTGGGGGGGTCCCCCCGCAGCCAATCTCGCTTCCACAGCCACTTCTGAGAGTGTCACTCCCCAGCTGGTGCTTGTGGGGGGGCCCACCGGTGTCCGTCTGTCCCGCTCCCCGCCCCCCTTCCAGCACATTGCCTAAGTGGCAAGTGTGGACAGTTGTGGGGTGCACTGATGCTCTCAGGGGATGCATGTGCACCCCCTACGCTTTGCCACCTGGAATTAGAATATCTATTTCAGTTAGCCTCTGTTCTGTGTTAGCCTCAGCCTGTTGGTATCGGTGGAATTTTAATTTGTTTTAAAGTGAGAATAAAAGTAAGTATCAAGACTAGCAAGAGCCAGATGCATTTAAACAAGAGAATAAAAAATTAGAACTATTGTAGTAACACAGACCAGGAAAAGTAAAGAGCGGAGAAATCAATTTAGGCAATTATAGCACCAACAAAATTTTTGCTATAATTTACTTGTGAGATTGAGGCTGTAGCCTAAACAGTGGCCCACCACATTTTCATGTTAGACTATTAAACTTGGTGTTTTTAAGGTCTTGTAAATAAAAGATTAAAAACAATTTTAGATTTATGTTTTATAAAAGCCTAAACCGGGGTGGCCAACATGCAGGACTTGCTGCAAGTGACTAGGGTGGCCATGGTAGAGAACAATCTGGTTGTCCTCTGTCCTCTATTGATATGAAACCAGACGCCTTTACGTCCTCTCTTTTTCTCTTGAAGAAATAGAGGACATAAAGGCATCGGGTTTTGTTTTAATAGAGGACAACCGGACTGTCCCCTACGATGGCCACCCTACAAGTGATGGGGTAGCCTCTGTGTGTGGTACACAGCAGATCAGGGAAGGAACTGGGAACACAGCTACTGATCGGGTAGAGAACAGAAAGCAGGGCACCAGACCAGGAAAGAAGCCCCCACTGGGGAGCATAAAGCAGAGCAGTAGGTTGACTAGGGGGAGGGAGCCAGAGGCATGAAGCTTACCTTTGAAAATCTGTGATGCACATGTACGCAAGTACAATGGCAGGTATCTTGAAATTTACACAGCCATGTGAGATTAGACTCCTAGCAGTCCATGACAATCTCTGCGTTCTACCAAGTATTGAGGAAGATCCCAGGGATTTTATATTCCTAATGCAGGAAGATAATACAAGTCAGTCGCAAAAAAAAGTCCAGTCTTACAGCAATGCAAAAAACGTTTGACATTTCAGATTAAAATATTAATCATTTTATTTTTTAATTGATTTTAGCACTGCCAAATACTTGGCAGTACTGGAAACTAAATCATATTTATTCACAGAATAGGTGCAGTGTGAGTTGCTGTTCCTTGCCAAAGTCCCTTAACCTTCTTTTAGATGGGCATTGACCTTTCTGCTGAGACAGCCAGCATGGGTGCCAATTAGTACTGATTGTGCTACTGCAATTATTATTGCTGTTCTTAATGTGGGTGCCATCTGTTAGGACCTGGACTGAAGCAGTCAAACTCATGTCACATGGGTCCCTTGGTCGCCACTCAAAAAAAAAATGGGTTTGTCTCCAACCAAAAAAAGATTGAAGATGTATAGTTTTTTCATCTGTACCTGAGTTTGATAAAATGTCTCGACCATTGCCAAGGTTGTTAGGAAAAGTAAAGGCAACCTTTCCCTCCCCAAACCACGGTTGAGGATATGACTCGATCTGAGGACCCACAGCTTTTAGCTCCCTCTTTGACCTCCCCTGTGAAATTTACTGTTTTTCAGGGCTTCAGCTCTTGCTTCCTAAAGGTTAAACAATCTGGCTGTGATTTGTGCCTATTCCTCAGTCAGCAAACATAGTCTGCTGCATTTCCCTCTTCAGAAGCCCGTTGTGTTTGTCATTCTCTACCTATCCCTTGTTGTTTGTGTCCTTCAGTTACATCTCAATGACAGCACTTGCTGCCCACTGAGGATGTTAGGTTGGCTTATGCAGTTGACAATTTGTTTCAATTTAAAGCTTTTAGGATTTCATTTCTGTTGCAACAGAGTAATTTAATTGATTCTGAGGAATAGCCAGCAACTCTTACTTTAAGCCAGTCAATATTTTTAAGCTCGATGAACTATTGTTCTCTGTTATTGAAATTGCAGGCTGGGACTTAAAGATCAGCAGGAAAGAGAGATAGTTCATGTTCTACTTGACTGTTGCCTCCAGGAAAAGACATATAACCCCTTCTATGCATATTTGGCTGCCAAGTTTTGTGAATATGATAGAAGATTTCAGGTAAATAAAGATTTGTTCATGCCTCATTATGCCATCAAAATGTGGGATTTTTATTTATTTCTCCTTCTAAAGTTTTCCATTGTTGGTATCCACTGTCAGGTTTATCATACCAATCTCTTTCATTATGTAATAACACAAAACAGCTCTTTTTGCCTAAGCATGCCTTTATCTAAAAACCTGCTTACAGGGTCATCACTTTCAGCTGTTCCATTGAGATTCCTTTGGCCAGAAGGACCAGTAAGCATGTACCAAACTAAAATAAGGAAACTGCATGTGATGTTTTGGGAAAGGAGGGTGTAAAAGAGACCCCTCTTGCACCCAGCATAAACCACTGACCCTTTGCCATCCAACAGCTGGAAAAAAAAGAATGATGTAGTAGTTATAGTTGCTTCTCTTGCTGTTGAAACTACAAGATGGTTGGGTTTTCTAAACAGAAACCATAAACTGTACTCATAATTGTAGACATTTCATGCAGACTTATTTCTCTTGGTGCTTCAGCATAAAAGCTGAAGAAAAAAAAACCTACATGGGTGATTTTTATTTTTTGTGTGCGCGTGCACAGTTCCTTTTTTGAATAATTTTTTTTTCTGCTTTGTACGCAGATAATTCCAAAATGTTTCACCAATAGAGTATAAAAAGTTTGTAAGGCTCCTAGACAGCTACTTCTTCTGTGCATCTTGTGTGAACTGATATAAATATTATAATGTTTGAAGTTGATAATTGTGGAGCTTGTAGACAGAAAAGTGGCACTTAAAACATCTGTTGTTTAATTTCAGAAAGTTGTGAATCAAGGCTAAGGTCCTGATTCTGCAAAATAGAGCCCTATCATTAGACTCCTGCATCTGCATGGAGCACCACTGCTGGTAGAACACTTATATGCAGCTATGTAACTTAGTTTTGTAATTTTTAAAACTGTTTGTCAGCTTGGCAGTCAGCAACATTTTCCAGTGGTGGGCCAGAATGACCCAGATCAGGTCCAAGGCAGGCTGGCACCAGGACCTAGCCACCACTGCTTCTCTCTACTGCCTCTTCTCCATGTCGCTACAGCCTCAGTGCAGCACAGGCAAAGCCCATGCTGCCAAAGCCAGATGCAGCTGCAAGCCAGGCCATAGGTTGCTAACCAATTTGGTTTATATGATTTTCAGACCAGGAGGCAATTTCTGACCTAAATTGTCTTCATTTTGCTTTGCAAATCTTTTGGAAAACCTCATAAATCAAAGTTTTAAAAAATATTTTGATGCTTGCTCACTACCTGAATGGAAAAGATGTAGTAAGGTAGGTTTGAGCACTTGCTGTTATGATATGACATAGTAGTACTTCCTTATTTGACTGGTGACTTGAATTCTCTTTTGTTCTTAAATGTAGATGACATTCCAGTTCAGTTTTTGGGATAAAATTCGAGATTTGGGAAACCTGTCACCCACTGCCTTCTCCAACCTGGTGTGTCTGTTAGTTCATGTGTTAAAGACAAAATCACTCTCCATTTCAGTCCTCAAGGTCAGCATATTCTGTCTTTAAAGTATTTTTGCACTTTGAGCATACTTTTACTTTGATGGAAGATGTGTTGTTGTTATCACTGGTTGCTGTCTAGCCAGTGTTACAGCTTTGGGGTTTATCCAGTTTTGATTATTCCAGGCTTCCAAGTTAAGCTGAACTTTTCTCTGCCTGCTGAAATTAACCCAGCTGTCAAACTGCCCTGAACTTGGGGATGGGGGATGTGAGCTACCTTCATGCAAATGTTGTAATGGCCAAACTGAGAAGCTTGGCTCAGTAGTTAAGACACTAGCTTTGGGGCTTATGAAGCCTGGGTTCAGTGCCACAGATTTCCTGAGAGACTGATGAAGTCACTTGTCTCCATTCCCCATCTGTAAAATGAGGTTAATGATAATATCTAGTGCTTTCATCCATAGACTCACAGCACTTTACAATGCATCATTATGCCTATCTTACAGGTGTGAAAATTGAGGTCCAGAGAGGCACCTAAAGTTACTCTGAAGGCCAGTGGCAGAGCAGAGAATTATAACCAAGGTCCTAGCCCAGTGCGCTGACCATTAGGAGATGCTCCCTTTTGTGATGCCATGAAGATAAATTTGTTAAGAGGAACGTGGGAAGGGGCATCTGGAAAGTCTTTAAAATCAGTATGCAGAAGACAGAATTTGGGCTATTGTAGACAGGAATAGTGTTTTTATGGGAAATCAGAGTTGAAGACAATATATGTTAGTTTGTTTTTTCTCCCATATTTATACTGCCTATATTAGAGGTACTTAACCTTCCTTTATGTACAGAATAGGCTAGTTGAGTTGCAAACTGCTTTGCTACAAAAGGGCACATGGCTTTTTTTATCATGCTAAAAACCAGCAGTGAGGTGTGAGGCGGTTACTAACTAGTTGGGATTATTTTGTTTCCTTGGAGAAGGCAGGATGCCAAAACCACAGTTTCATAGTTGGTAGGGTTGGAAGGGACCTGAGCAGATCATCAAGTCCGACCCCCTGCCATGAGCAGGAAAGAAAGCAAGCTGGGGTCAAACGACCCCAGCCAGATGACTATCTAGCCTCTTTTTGAAGACCCCCAGGGTAAAAGCAAGCACCACTTCCCTTGGAAGTTGGTTCCAGCTCCTAGCTGCCCTGACTATGAAGTAGTGCCTCCTGGTATCTAGCCTGAATCTACTGTCAGTCAATTTATGGCCGTTATTCCTTGTTACTCCCTATAGTGCTTAGGGAAACAGGGACTCTCCCATAGCCTGCTGGTCCCCCTTGGCCAGTTTGTAGACGGCCACCATACCCCCCCTCAGCCTTCTCTTGTGGAGGCTGAACAGGTTCAGGTCCCATAGCCTCTGCTCATAGGGCCTGCCTTGCTGCCCCCTGATTATGCGAGTGACCCTCCTCTGGACCCCCTTGACATCCCTCCTGAAGTGCGGCATCCAGAACTGGACACAGTACTCCAACTGTGGCCTGACCACTTAAACATGCCTTTAGAGCCAGGTCTTGACAATATCCATGGATTCTGTTGACTTGGCTAGTTACTGCCTTGATGTTGAATCTTCCATTTTGGAGTAAAATTATTGAGATGGCTGTTCAGGGAGCAAAGTAATGACCTGGATTCCAAATGTCTTCAAGGTTTGTCTACAGAGTTGTGTCCCATTTCTTACCCTCAGTGAGGAGTGAATACACTGTTTACTGAAATAGCTACGCTCTGTATATTCCCTAGTTAAGATGTAGTTTATTCCATTTCCTGTTCAGAATAATACTGTACTGGGATAATCACTTTTATACCAAAATAACTGCAGCCCACACTATTAAGGTTGTACTGGTATACTTATACTAATATAGTTGAAGTTACGTGACTGTTTTTAGACTACCCCAAATTCTGGTTATGATAAAACCGTGCTGTATTGCAGGGCAAAAGAGTGCTGCCCCTGCTGTTGTACTAGCAGTCTTTGGGGCCCCCAGATGCTGAAGAGATGGGCTGCCACAGAAATGTTCTCAGATTCTGACTGAACAGGAAGTGTGCTTTGGCTGCTCGCATATGTCAGAGGGACCTGTCTCTTTGGAAAGACCCATCTGGGTATCTTAGTACTGGTAAATAGGGTGCCCCGCAAGGCATACCAACTTAGAAGTTGGTTTTGAGCAATTGCTTCTCCATGCAGTGATCTCTTGTGGCAGATTCAATTAGATTCTGTTGTGTGCAACTCTTGTCCAATGTGTATGTGAAGCCAGTAGGTGTTTTTGAACTGAAGTGTAAGGGATTATTCTTTGTTTTCATCTCCAGTTTCTCAAATTATGCAAGGCTCATTCTTTTGATTTATGATTGGTTTGCTTTTCATCTATGGTGATCCCAGATGCCACTGGATCACAAACTCAATATGAGTCTGGAGTGTGACACAGCTGCTCAAAAGGCAAATGCAATTTTGGGCTGCCTCAATAAAGACATTAGGCGCAAGAAACGGGAAGTGATAGTGATTCTTTACTCAGCACTGATTAGGCCTCATCTAGAGTGTTATGTGCAGTTTTGGGCTCTGCATTTTAAAAAAGGCATGAAAAGTTAGGGTCCAGGGGTGGGTGACAAAATTGATAAAGGGCTTGGAAGGAAAGCGTTGAAGGAAATAAGCCTATTCAGCTTGTGGAAAAGGCACTTGAGGGGACAAGAAACCAATCCTCAAATATATGAAGGAGTGCCATAAAGAAGGAAAACACTTCCCTCTTGCTGCAGAGAATAAGACACAGCCCAGTGGCTTGAAGTTGTAGATTTAGATTGGATATCAGGAAAAACTTGTTCACTGTTAGAACAGTAAGGAAGTGAAATAGACTGCCTAGGGAACTTGTGGATTCCCTTTCCTTTAGCGTTGTTCAAAAAGAGGTTTCATAGTTAGTAGAGTCGGAAGGGACCTGAGCTGATCATCAAGTCCGACCCCCTGCCATGGCAGGAAAGAGTACTGGGGTCAAACAACCCTGGCAAGGTGTTCATCCAGCCTCCTCTTAAAGACCCCCAGGGTAGGAGCCAGCACCAC